TACTATGTATATTAAATTAATCTGTCATCCTCTTACAGAAGAATTGAACGTATCAATGATTAGCATTACACATAGTATAAATAAGTCAACCAAAAAAGTAAAGTATGTCTTTCCATTTTTATCCAAATGCTGAATTTGTGACACAAAAGCTGGATGTTTACAGCTGTTATGTTAAGCAAATTATTTGTTGCCAAAAGCTAGTTTAGAATCTTAGCGTCGGCTACTAGACTTTAAAAAAAAATAAAACCTAATTTCTAAAAAACTGAGACCCTAAACTAAAATTATGGCTTCGACATTCCCTAGTTCTCAAAATTATCTTTCTTTCTACACAAAAATCATGAAAATCCGTCGAGTGGTTGATTCAGAATCGTGAAATAAAAAAACACTGTTTCGTTTTAATATTATAGAAGACGAGGTGTTAGCCCGTCCTACGTACGGGAATTCAGCAGTCAGTTAAAACCGTGTACAATTCAGATCGGCTAGTTTACACATATAAAGACAAAGTTTCTTGCAGTTTTAATGTGAAAAATCATCTTGTAAACAAATGTTGTGTGATAAAATGTGTTTTTATTCCATCATAGGCCTATACGATATGCATTTTGAATCCGATAATTTTACAAAAAAACAGCAATCCTGCAGTTTTACGATGTGAAAAGCATTGAAGTGAGATTTGCAGCCGATTCGTACAGACGCACACTTATTATAAGTAGCCTACAGTAGAGAGAGTAATAGTCAATTGAGAAGTGTATAGACCTAGTCAACGATACCACTTCCATAGCATACCTGCCTCTTCCATAATTATTATCACCACAATAAAACTACTATAGGCCCTACACAATTTCCAGTAGGTCTGAATGAAAACAACCTAAAATAAAACGATAGTATCCAATCAAATTCACAGTACACATAAATAATTTAACTTTGGTGTCCTAACATCAAAACTAACCGTCACACTATCCTTTATATCAATTTATATCAAGGCAAAAAATCTAAGCTTTCGTTGACCAATAAACTCACACTTTACAAAGTTATGATCAAACCTATTTGGACGTACGGGATACAGCTTTGGGGAACGGCAAGTAAATCCAACTTAGCAATTATTCAAAGATTTCAGTCAAAGGCGCTACGAAGAATAGTTGATGCTCCGTGGTTTGTTTCGAATCGAACAATCCATGAAGATTTCAGAATACCTACAGTAATTGAAGAAATAACAAGAATTAGCAAGAACTATCAAGAAAAACTCGAAACCCACCCGAACAATATAGCCGTTAATTTGCTGGACAATAGTGATTTTCCCAACAGACTGAAAATTGTGAAAGTTCTAGAACTCCCATACCGATTTGTATAGTTTTAGTTATGACATGACTATTTAATTTTGCAAGATCTTTCACAGGGAAGATTCTTGGTCAAGACACTTATTTATATTATCCCTTTTACTAATTGTTCAAAGTATTGAACAGATTGTAAAATAAAATTAAGTTAAAAAAAAAAAATATCAATTTCACTGCATTAATTGCTAAATAAATAAGCGTAAACAAAGGAAAGTACCTAAAAACAATAATAGTTTGTTTTGAAACAGCTGTTTGGTTCAAATAACATTCATTTGAAAAAAGAACTGGTAGCAGGAATATAAAAAGTAAACACGCTACGCTAGTAAAGCTAATGACGTAATTTTCATCAGTCCTATCCTTGATAATTACCCACCCTCATTGAATAAATGCACATCGCTATAATTTCCCATATTAGTTAATTTAAACTGCAATATATTCATAGTTGAAATAAGTGATATTTTCACATTTGGGGGCGCTGATATAGCCACCCCCAAACGTTACCACAACTGAACACGATTTCATAAAAGGATGGTTTGTCTAATTGCAGTATCCTAGGTCAATCTTGACGTTGTGTTCAATCTATGTCATCCATCTGTTTAACTTTGTATAAAACCCGGCTGAGGTTGTGGTGGTAATTTAAAATCGTGATTCCTGATTATTCTTGATCTTCTTTTTATGACATCAATATTTCCGGGCCTAATCCAAACAAAGTTAAAGCAGACAAACATTAATTGTAAACAAAAAGCTACCATGAAGAATTAAAACATGTAAACTTTGTTATTTTTCTAATCTTTCCTTGAAAAGTGGAGCAGTAAAATAATTTGCATTTACCTTTTTTTTTATTAAGACTCGTGTACAGAGCCTCGATTTGTACTGTGGTTTAATTAATTTTGTTAAAACTGTGGTTTAAACTGTGGTCTAATTATCTCTACTAATCTTACTTATTTCCTATAATCAATGACAAAAATAAAATAACCTCATAGTTCCATAGTTTATATTTAACCAGCTGTTAGTTAAAACAAATTATATTGCTCTAAAGCAAATCGAAGATTAAAAAGATTGCTTTAAAAAATAATTTGAACATCCTAGTATTTTACTAACGTATATTTAATTAATCTGTTATCAAAGAATTGAACGTATCAATGATTAGCATTACACATAGTATAAATAAGTCAACCCTAAGTTTGTCTTTCCATTTTTATCCAAATGCTGAATTTGTGACACAAAAGCTGGATGTTTACAGCTGTTATGTTAAGCAAATTATTTTATGCCAAAAGCTAGTTTAGAATCTTAGCGTCGGCTACTAGACTTTAAAAAAATTAAAACCTAATTTCTAAAAAACTGAGACCCTAAACTAAAATTATGGCTTCGACATTCCCTATTTCTCAAAATTATCTTTCTTTCAACACAAAAATCATAAGAATCCGTCGAGTGGTTGATTCAGAATCGTGAAATAAAAAAACACTGTTTCGTTTTAATATTATAGATGGTTCTTTTGTATTTTGAATATCATTTAGTGTAATTCTATATTGGCAACGATGAGTAAACGAACCAAAAGAAGAAATAGTTATTTCAATGAAGAAGATAAGTATGAAACTAAAGAAGACACATTACAATCAAAGATAGAGAAGTTCAAATGTCAAAGCTTTGATGAGTCTAGTAGGTGGGACGATTATGAAGCACATTTTCTATTATTATGCAAGGTAAAAGGATTGGGAGAAGACTCTCAGAGAGCAGAGGATGCTCGAAGGGATCTTTTGCTTGCATATGTGGGTCCTGCACCATTAAGAAAGATTTCAAACTTTCTACTGCCTTTGAAAGTACATCAGGCTACGTGGGCAGAACTAGTTAATGGTTTCAGGTCAGTATACAAAGCTAGAAAGACTATATTTTCAGCAAGAATGGAGTTTGAAAAATGCATCAGAGAAGATAGTGAAAGCCTTTCAGAATTTGTAGTACGTTTGAAAAATTTAGCAGAATTTTGCAAGTATGAGAATAAGTTTGATGAATGAATAAGAGACAGATTTGCAGGAGGTATAAATTTTCCAGAGTTTGAAGTAGAAATTAGACAACGATGGCCTGATGGTGTAAAAGAAAATGGTGACAAGTTAACATCTGAAGATATTTTTGAACTGGTCACTTCAATGGAAAGAGCTCGTCATGAGATATTCAAGAATAACGATAAAGAGTTGGAAGTATCGCAAGTAAGAAGAAACAATAAGGGGTCTAAGAGAGAAGCGGAATATAACGAAAAGACAAATCATCCATGTAGTAGATGTGGTACAAAACATGAATTTCGCAAATGCCCACCCTACCAAAAACAGTGTTTGAATTGTAAAAAAATAGGACATTTTGCAAAGGTATGTTGGCAAAAACGAGTGAATAATTTGCATGAAAAATCAGAAGATGAAGAATCTGGAGCAGACTCTCATGACATGAGGATAAACGATGTTAAAAAGGAAAGAAGACATATTTGTAAAGCACGTATTTATTTAAAGTGAAATAAGGTAGCTACAAACATGGAATTTGACTCAGGAGCTTGGGCCTCAATGATAGGTAAGCCTCTTTGGGAGAAGATTGGTTCACCACGACTTGACAAGACTAATTCAAAATATGTGGCATACGGAAACAATATTTTAGATATACTTGGTGAGTGTTATGTCAATGTTTCGGTAGGTAATGAGACACGTAGATTAAAAGTAGCAGTAGTAAATGGAAATGAGAAACCATTATTTGGTTTACCATGGATATTAGCTTTTAATATGGAACTCCTTCCTGATGTAACTATTAGTAAAGTGAGATGTAAGCAAAATCTAAAACAACAAAAGATGGATGATGTGAGAGTTAAGGAAGTACTAAACGACTTTGAAGATGTATTCTCTGAAGGACATGGGAAAATCAAGGGTTATAAAGCACAAATTCACGTTCAAGAAGATGCAAACCCCCGACATTTTTCTGCGCGCAGGGTTCCATTTCCCTTGAAAAAACTAATTGAGAGTGAACTTGCAAGACTTGTCAATGAGATATATATATTGATATATTTTGATACATTCTTATTTATTAGGGTTCTTTAGTCAGGTCATCTTGATGTTATGTATGAATTGTTCTATGTAAGTCTGAATGAAATGTCTTGCCATGATTGTATGTTATGAAAATGGAGTTTTCCGTCTGTAAGTAAATAAATAAATAAATAAATAAATAAATGAGGATATCATTGAAGAGGTAGATCCTGCTACTACAGCTATTCCGTGGGCCACTCCAACAGTCAACGTAGAGAAGGACGATGGTTCAATAAGAATTTGTGGAGATTTTCGAGTCACGTTGAATCCCAATTTGGTCCCAGAAAATGCTATTATTCCAACATTTGAGGAACTAACAAATAAAGTTGCAGGTGGACAAGAGTTTTCCAAGATAGACCTACGAGATGCTTACCTACAAATGGAGGTTGCAGAAGAACACCGAAAGTATTTAGTAATAGCAACGCATAGTGGTTGTTATAGATACAAACGTTTACCTTTTGGGATATCATCCAGCCCAGGTATTTTCCAGAGATATATGGAAAGACTCTTAGCTGGAATACCACAGGTTGGAGTTCTTCTGGATGATATTATAATAACTGGAAAGAATTAGAACGAACATCTAAGAAATTTAAGAGAGGTTTTGAAACGAATGAAAGAAGCTGGTATAAAAGCAAAATCTAGCAAATGCAAATTTTTTGAAGAGTCAGTAACTTACTTGGGACATACAATCGACCGAATTGGAATACATCCTACCGAAGAAAAAATAAAAGCCATACGAGAGGCACGGTCACCTACTAATGTCAAGGAACTCCGATCATTTTTAGGTTCTATTAACTACTATGAACGATTTATTCCGGGACTTCATGCCATTTGTAGTGATCTCCATAAGCTGACTGGAACTAAATCTAAATGGAAATGGTCTGAACAAGAAGAGGTGACGTTTAAAAGAGTAAAGGAAATTCTATCAAGTAAAGACACAGTAGTACCATATGAAGAAATGAGACCATTAATAATGGTCTGTGATGCATCAGAAAATGGATTGGGAAGTGTACTAATGCACAGATTCGAAAATGGACTAGAAAGACCAATTGCTTTTGCAAGTCGCACTCTACTGCCTGCTGAGAAACAATATTCAAATATCGACAGAGAAGCACTAGCTATTATCTTTGGACTCAGGAAATTCCATCAATATGTATATGGTCGGAAGTTCACTTTGGTAACTGACCACAAACCTCTACAACGGATATTTGGAAAAATGCGAGATCTCCCAAAAGTTGTAAATAGCCGTTTAGTGAGGTGGGCTCTTCAGTTGAATCAATACAACTATGACATAGAGTACAGAAAAGGAGAAGATAACGTGTGTGCTGACGTTCTATCAAGACTTCCGATTGAAGAAGATCAACCTGAGGAGGCTCACATTGGTTTTTTGAATGTTGATAAGGTTAACACTATCATGTCTTATGACCTATTAAAACAAAATTCATTGACAGATAAAGCTATTAGAATGGCAAAAAACTTTACATTGAGGAATACATGGCCCTCTGTTGTTCCTGAAATGTTAAAGTCGTACAAACAGAGAAAAGATGAATTGAATGTTGAAGATGATATATTATTGTGGTTTGGAAGAATCGTAGTTCCAGAATGCATGAGAACTGATGTTCTGAAGATATTGCATGCAGGACATCCTGGTATTGCATCAATGAGGTCTGTTGCGCGACACTATGTGTGGTGGCCCAACATGGATAAAGATATCGAAGTTTATATCAAGAAGTGTACATCTTGTCAAGAGAATAGAGATAATGTGGAAGAAGTACCATTATATCCTTGGAATGTACCTGATAGAGTTTGGGAAAGGGTACACATTGATCTAGCAGGGCCAGTCAACGGATCTATGTGGTTGGTAGGTATTGATGCGTTGTCTAAGTGGGCAGAAGTGAACTGTCTTAAGACAACAAACTCTTATACAATCATTCAACGATTAAGATCTTGGTTTAGTCGATATGGATTACCAAGTGAAATCGTGACAGACAACGGACCTCAATTTGTGTCAAAGGAAATTGAAACATTCTTCCAGAAAAATTCTATCAACCACATAAAAACAACTCCATACCATCCTAAAAGTAATGGACTTGTTGAAAGACTAATTCGTACATTGAAAAGACGGTACTACACAACAAAGCAGGAGGTCGGAGATGGAATGCTAGCTCTTCAAAATGTTCTTTTTAGCTACAGAAACTCGCCTCAGAAAACAACCGGTAGGGCTCCGGCAGAATTGTTTCTCGGTCGTAGACTACCAACAATTTTTGACAATATGAAACCTAATCTTAGGAAAAAGATGGAAATGAAGCTTTGGAAAGAACAAGGGAGAGACAACAGGAAAGTTCGAACTTTTGAAGAAGGAGAAGATGTGTGGATTAAGAATAAACATGGAAATGGTTGGTCAGCTGGAATGGTGAAAAATAGAAATGGATTGTATTCATATGATGTACTTTGTGGAGGTGTTATAAAAAGAAAGCATGCCAACCAGATGAGACAAAGAATGGGAGCTGTAGAATCTGCGTAAAAAGAAGGAGGGGAAAAGTGTTAGATAGTTAAATCTGTAAGTGATTAATTCATCAGCTGATTTATTATTATTAAGTTTGTTAGTAAATATTCTGTTTACATTGATGTGTTTAAGAATTAAATAAAACGAGAGGTCGTCCAGTGGTCGAAACTCGACCAAAAATATGTAATGTACTCACTTCTCTATTTTCACCCCACACTGTAAATAAAACATGTGATTGGAGTTTCTTCCATTTTGTTTTGATTTTCTGTTTATATTTCGTTGTTATTTCGTCACCAGCATGGCAACGCATAAGATCCATGTTAATTTTTTCAAATTTGTAAACTCATTTTTTGTGCTTATCTTTGAGCCTATTTAAATTTATAAAGGGATTCTGCACACCTACAGGAAAATAGCTTTCTAACGGTATGCGTAGATTTACCCCACGATGCACACAAGCTGAGAAAAAAGGTTTTAAAGAAACATGCTTGCCTATTAATATATAGATAGATAGATGGTTCTTTTGTATTTTGAATATCATTTAGTGTAATTCTATAGTCTTTACTCGGAATCTGCTACAAGCCCAAACGAAAAGGAAATCGCTAGTCTAGGATATATAGGTTGGTTTACTCGATAAAACGGTTTATTTACTTGATGGAGAAATGAAGCAGGGTACTTGATGAAGCAATGTGGCAATGGGGATCATTTTACTAGACTAAGCAATGGAGAGCAATGTACTCAATGGAGCGATGGAGCAGTGTAGGCATACTCAATGGAGCGATGGAGCATGCGGTGCACTCGATGGAGTGGTGTAGCGATGGAGAGCAATGTACTCAATGGAGCAATGGAGCAGTGTAGCCTACGCAATGGAGCAGTAAACTCGAAGAAACAATGTGGCGATGGAGAGCAGAGAATGTGACGATGGAGAGCGGTGTACTCGATGGAGTGATGTGGCGATGGAGAGCGTCGTACTCGATGGAGTGATGTGGCGATGGAGAGCGTCGTACTCGATGGAGTGATGTGGCGATGGAGAGCGTCGTACTCGATGGAGTGATGTGGCGATGGAGAGCGTCGTACTCGATGGAGTGATGTGGCGATGGAGAGCGTCGTACTCGATGGAGTGATGTGGCGATGGAGAGCGTCGTACTCGATGGAGTGATGTGGTGATGGAGAGCGTCGTACTCGATGGAGTGATGTGGTGATGGAGAGCATCGTACTCGATGGAGTGATGTGGCGATGGAGAGCGTCGTACTCGATGGTGTGATGTGGCGATGGAGAGGGTCGTACTCGATGGAGTGATGTGGCGATGGAGAGCGTCGTACTCGATGGAGTGATGTGGTGATGGAGAGCATCGTACTCGATGGTGTGATGTGGCGATGGAGAGCGTCGTACTCGATGGAGTGATGTGGCGATGGAGAGCGTCGTACTCGATGGTGTGATGTGGCGAAGGAGAGCGTCGTACTTGATGGAGTGATGTGGCGATGGAGAGCGTCGTACTCGATGCAGAGATGTGGCGATGGAGAGCGTCGTACTTGATGGAGTGATGTGGCGATGGAGAGCGTCATACTCGATGGAGTGATGTGGCGATGGAGAGCGGTGTACTCGATGGCGTCCGGACTCGTTGGGCGGGATCTCCGAGGTAATCAATTTTCTCACGATTATGCGGCGATTACCGCGAGCTGAGTGGCGCTAATCGGAGCGCAGACCGAGGAAATACTTGGTTTAATGCCAGTAACACGGAAACTACTTCACACTAGGTTAATTTGCTGCAACACCTGAGACGATGCGGTGTACAGTTACAGTAAGTACAGTACAGACTTTATTTTATATTAAAGAAAACTATTATTAATATACCAGAGAATCCTTATAACCTGTAAACTTTATACAGTAAAATTAAGATTTATACAGTAAATTTGTAAAAAAACAGATTTATTGTAGTCCATATACACCTATTGACATCACTATTTTCAACTATTTTTTGAAGGTTTTCAAACTGCATTACTGTAGTTCCTAATATACCTACAAAATAACTATTTGTTATTGTTGTTTAAACTACAGTTCATTTAAGGGTCAATAGTAAAAGACTATGTTCGATGGAACATTAAGATTGATCTGTGAAATTTCTTATAATAGATGGAATTTACTTACTCAAAATTGATCATCGGACAAATCGTCCAAAAAACCGAACTCTGTTTGGAGCTCTGTATTAAAGAAGTTCTTAACAAGAATAGTCATAAAACATTGCATTACACAATACACTGAATCCACCCTTAAACACATTTACTTCTGCAATTTCCATTTCGCTAGGATTTATTTACAGGATTATTAGCCTATACAAGGATTATTTACAAAGTAGGAAGATATTGTTACAGTAAAAGGATTAACATAGACATGAATGTAAATATCTCGTTCTTCACATTTCGTAACCATTAGCACAGTGGGTGTTCAGCTTTCTAAAGCAAGGAAATTGTTGACGTAAAAAGTTATTGCAATTTACGACCAAATTTCTAGCAATTAGGGGGCCTATATTATTTTCTGAAAAAAAAAAACGTTTACACATAGGTTTATGGAAAAACATGCATCAGTAGTCCAACCATAAAAATTACCAATAATTCTTTGTCAACTACTATATGCTGTTACGTAGTTTATTTATTACCAGAGACGGAATGTAAGTGATATAACTCTTTATACGATACTTAGGTCCAAGAAGCGTCTTAGATATCAGGTTTAACGCTGCTGTCCCTCCTGGTGAAATGTGTCGACCAGAGATGTTAGAATGTTCCCCTACTACTCCTCCTCTATAGGTCCGGCAGTGTGGCACGCTCTTTTACACTTAATTTCCTAATATATTTCCCAGCGGAGCAGTAATTCGACTTTCAAAACACACATCTTAACCGAAACTGGTTGTATGGACTCGAGGCGGCAAATTACTTTAAATTGGTTGCCCGGTCGTCGGGCTATTATTGTAGTCTATTATGCTACGCTCGGTTTAGCTGGTTTATGTTTATTTTGTAAACAGTTTGTTGTACTATAAATTTGTTAAGTGGCCAGCGATTACCTGAAGACGAGGACTGATCGTGCAACAGGCTGACTGCTTGGATTCGGCGCGAAAACTACAGCTTCGCCTGCACATGAGATGCAACGTGCTTACTTCTTGGTTTTGGCGCGAAAACTACAGCTTCAACTGTACAGGAGACTGATTGTACAGTACATCGGAGCCCCGACCGCTTGGATTCGGCGCGAAAACTACAGCTTCGCCTCCTCATGAGATGCAGATTGATGAGATTGATGAGATTGAATTGATCGGAGATTTTTTTACCACCTTGTAATAGATATATTTTGATTTGACAGTGGTATTAATGTTATCGGCTATATTTTCTCATCTCGTGTACACGCAAGTTTTATATTGTTCAACCTGTTACTGGAGGTCATTTTTATGTATCTTTAACTTAATATATTGCAATACTAATCCACACTAATCTTAATATGTATTCATGCATAGCTTCGTAAAACCACGGAATTCAGCACATGTGTCACGTTCATGAATAAATTGAAGACGATTTCCCGGAATGTTTTCATTACGTATCCTGTCCAGAGGAAGTTTTAAGGTTTAATACTTCCTTTGATTTGTTATTGACTTTTAAATTAGATATAAAAATTCAATCAATACCGAGCGATTTCTGGCCAGGTAAGTCGAGTAAATAAGGCTTACCTCTGGCTTTAAAATCACATGAAGACAATCTTCAGGTTTTACGATTGGGTGAGAAGTCTACATACTATAACAAACCAACATGTGTGACTAAATACATTTTATTTAGCGATTCATTCTATTACCAAATGCGTTTTTTTATTAGTAGATAAAAAAGGACAAAGTAGAGTAGCTTAAGATCAATAATGTAAGTACGTGATACTTACTACTTACTATTGATGCGAATTAACCCAAAATAAATTCTATTAAAAACCAAAACTTCAGTCTACGTAGGAAGCGGGCAGCAATTGGGGGTAACATAGGTAACATATGATGAAGCTGGACAATCTGGCCTTCTTGATCATAGAAGTGATGAGAACCCACTCCACAGTCCACCCACAGCCTTCTCAATACCATGCCCGCTTGGTATACAATTTCAGTTTGCTACATTTTTTAGCGATACCTCGAGTCAAAATCATCCGATTTTGCTAACATTTGGCTCAAATGTATAAAACTACATTTTATTTAAACGATTTCAAGAACCAGCATGATCGAACTATGATGGTGTGGTGAGGTTATTTATGGGACAAACATTGTTTTCCCACTCGAACCCCAAAGATTCACATTTCTCAAAATCTTTTTTACTTAAAAAATAATACAAATAATATAGTATATAGAAGCAATGTTGCACGCTACATGATTACAAAGAAAATCTCAAAAAAAACTTGTTATGGGTGCATTCTGATTATATTTTATCAGTTTAATTATTTCATCCTGAGCTATTAATTTATCAACACGTATGTCCAAGGATCTGTAGATTTAAATATTTTTAGAATGTTTAGGTTAATGAGCTGGGAATACTCCTTATGAATATTTCGTACGTTATTATCATCGATAACTTTTATGAATAATTTTAAGTACCTACTACTCCGTTTTATAAAATATTTCGAAATGTATAGATTATAAAACATTATTTCAGGTGTACGCTATTGTTTCTGAAGCAATAGACAATAAACTACGGCAAGTTTCTATCTTATAAACGTTGCCTACCCAATAACCTAATATTCAATGTTGTTCACGAGCGCCCCCGGTCAACCGTAGACCAGTCTTGAAATAGAGCCATACCTCTCGATAAGGTTAATAAGCTCACCTTTCAGCTGGCCTTATTAATAAACACAACCTCCAAGGTTCGACGCCTTTCTCTGCCACTTGCTAATTATCTCTTGCTTCACAGTGTCGCCTTCTTGCTGAGTATATCCTCCACCGCTGTGATGTATGGACTCGCATACATTTGTCGCAAAGAAGATATCAATATTTCAGTGTCTAATTGCGA